TCCATCTTGGGCAAATTCCAAGAAGGCTCCCAATTGTCTCCAAAAATGTTTGAATTAATTGAGCAGTTCCCGCATATTTTAATTGAGATAAAAGTAAACACTTTTAGGGAGACATCAGACTGAAAATCATTGCAAATAGAGAGAGAGAGAGAGAGAGAGAGAGAGAGATGTAATTACATGGTTAACCAAAACTACAGAATTGTATAACTGTATCCTGGGTACACAATTATTTCCAGGAAAGTAAGAAATTAACAGAGAAACTGGCAAATAATAAATGCCCAGTTTAACAACCCTCATGATTTTACAAATGCTGCATTGAGGAAAAACGTGAAGCTGATGTTTCGTGAAAACATTTTGGAATTATGCAAATGTAGAATTGCATAAACATGGCACACTTCTCTCAATAAAATAATGAACCTACAGCATCTCTTCTTTTGCGTTTCTGGTTAGAATACTGAAGAAATATTAATTCCAAAATAGGGTGGGGGAATATTACCGGGATAAAAGGAACACAGGAATATATTTAGTGGTAAGGTAACTACTGGGAGCGATAGCTGCAATGAAGACTAATGACCACAAGGGAGGAGTGTCTATACCTCCAAGCACATACTCCAAAACATACTTTGAGTACACCTATAACAGGTCATCAGATCTTCCCTAGGCTGGATGGCAAAGCCACACCCAAAGCACATGGTCATTTGCATACAACAGGTAATATGAATTTAGCTCCAACCTAATGGATGGCACAGTGTTAATTTTATAGAATATGACATTTTTATGGGATATGATGAGATTGAGAGAGAGAGAAATTATTCCAGGACAGGAAATGATGACACAAGAATATTTAAATAAAGGGCTGGGGATAAGATAAGACCAGCATTGGATACAAAGGGAGAAGACAAGTTATTCAGGATGTTGTGATGCTCCCAAACTGCATGTGGGAACAGGTGAGGGGCCGAAAGCTGAAAGACTTGATCTATTTTAATTGATACTACCAAGTCTAAGACAGATTGGGGTCACAGTTCATCAAACGTTTGCCTGATCTGTTATTGATATTTCATCTTATCTGCATTTGACACTCTCCGTACAAGCAACTCCAAATTGTCTACCAAATGGTTCACTCCAAACCTACACGTCACTTACAATTTACCTAAGCCAAAAATGGTTTGTTCCAATCAGCTGTTGCACCCTATGTAGTTTATTCCAGGCACACCCTTCCCAATAAAAATGGTTTGCTCCATCATGAAACTTTAGCAATTAGGTACGCGTAGGACGGCAGCATAAGACAAGGAAGCTAATTATTAATTATTCTATTTTCTCAGGTTGAAGAAAAACGGCGTCTCTTTCCACGGGTCTCAGGTTAGCGTTATTTCAAACTTCCCTCCCCCCTTTTCCCCCCGAAGTGGCTCCACCCAACCTTCATACTGAATAGTAAAGGAACGTGCCATTCAGCGTACGGAGGGTGCCTTTCTAACCTATCGCTCGTCTCTGATAGGAACCACCAAGGATCCCACAGGGTCGATTTGTGGCGACCGCATTCATTAAGGGGTGAGCCGTGGCACAGGCAGAATCCCGTCCGCGAACTATTCTCTCTCGATCCCTTAAACCGAAGTGGAGGAGGTGGGGGGAGAAGAGAGGTGGATGCCCGGCTGGTTGGCCTCGCCTCCAGTTCTTCTCGTCAGCAGCGCCGCCGGCGTTCAACCGGCGAGGACCTTCCGCCTCAGCCGACCCCTGCGGCCGGTCTCTGGCGCCTGGAAAAGGTCACCATCGGCTGTCCTGACTGGAAGCTTTTTCTCCTTCCGCTTCAGAGCGTGTCAGGCAGGCCGGGCTAATGGAGCGGTGCGCCTGCGTAGAGAGGGAGGTGGACAAAGTGCTGCAGAAGTTCCTGTGCTACGGCCAGCATTGTGAGCGAGGCCTGGAAGAGCTGCTGCGCTACGTCAGCCAGCTAAGGGAGGAGCTGGGCGCTGCAGGTACGGATGCCCCTTGCCTTGGAGGCAGGGCTGCGGCAGGCTCGCCTTGCCTGACAGGCGCGGAAGGGGTCTGGGATTGCGGTCTCGGCTTTGAACATGAGCCACCTGGTCATAAAAAGCCAGGCAGATGCGGATCTGGCTAATGAGAGACCACCAAGGCAACCCTACACTAGAAAGTCATAGTGTCGAAGCATCCTGGAAGAACACAATGGAAAACCACGTTTTATCTTGTTTGCTAGAAAAGGCACACATTTGATCCATGAAACTGTAGGAAGTTGATCTTTGCTTGGGAGTTTTTGTGTTCCATGCTTATTGGATTGAGCGGGCTTGCAAAATACACTTAATAAAACTTAGTGAAGTTTTTTAACAACCTTAAGTTTGTCCTTGGTTAGATGTATAGATTGTGAATCCCCTAATGTGAACGCAGCCCATTTAATTAGTTTATGAGTCAAATGTATTTGAGTAATCCCAGAAAATGGGTTAATTCAGTAAAAAGTATATTCTTTGAGATTAGCCAAAACTGAGCTTGTTTGAATGAATGAATGAATGAATGAATGAATGAATGAATGAATGAATGAATGAATGATCAATCTAATTGGCTGTTACAATGCAATACAGTATGTAGATAATATTCTAGTGTACATATTATCTCCTTCAAATTCAACCGAAGCTATTGAGGCTCTATTCCTGTGTCTGGAGGTTGCAAAGGTCCAGATGGGGAGGAACAGGATTTAGCTCTACCCTACCAAAACCAAGTGGCTGTAGGTTTTAGTTTCCAAAAGTCCCAATACTGGAGAGGATTGATCTTTGACACTGAGCAATTTTACCTTGCCTTGCTTGAAACCAGTGCATAATTTGGGGTCCTCCAGGACTCTCAGATCCAAATTGAAGAACTGTTCACAGCTGTGGCCAGGGGTGTCTTTGCATAACTTTGTTTGGTGTGCAGTTTGTACCCATTTCCGCATTATGGACCCTGCTCATGATCACCCACATCTTATTCCCCTCTCATCAGGACAATTGCATTGTGCTGCCTTTGAACATCCAAAAACTGCAATTGGTTCATTATGCGGTGATGCAAGTACGGTAGTTGTGGTCATTGCTTGTTATGCCCATCTGACACTGGCTACCAATAGCCTTCTAGGTCTGGGTGCAATTCAGTGTGCTGGTTTACACCTGTAAAGTCTCTTATGACATAGGACTGGATTATTTGGGAACTACTGGTATTTGTTCTCAAGGGTACCAACCACCCTGTCCACATAGGCCATACTCCTGGGACTTCTTTGAAACAATGCCATCTCTTGGGACCCAGAAGGTGTATTTTCTCCGTGCTATTATACAACTGGTTTATTTTCATTGCTGTCTTCCCTTAATTTTCACAATTGAATTCCAAGATACTTGTGAACAGATGTTGAAGAAATGTTGAGTATGAAAATATTACTATTATATGGAACTGTTGTATCTAGTGGTGCTTTTCCCCAAATGTGTCCCTTACAGGTGAGGATACCATAAAATATCTTCACCTATTTATGTCAAATGAAAATTGCAAGTAGGCAGAGACTGAGCACATCTAAAACTAAAATGCCATTGCTTTTCCTATTACAGCCTTGCAGCGAGGACCTCTTTCTGCTACACTCTCCCTTGTTATGTCCCAATGCTGTAAGAAAATTAAGGATACTGTTCAAAACTTAGCTTCAGATCACAAAGATATTCACAGCAGTATCTCCCGCGTGGGCAAAGCAATAGATAGAGTAAGTATCTTCTACTAATTTGGGTGTGTGGGTGTGTGGGACCAAGAAGGAAATTGCTTTGGATTTTAAATTGGGAACCATGAGAATAGATGTTACTCCAATGATTTTATGCTGTCGATTTTGGAATGCTTGTTAACTAGTGAAATATGCATGTTCTATTATTTTGTTCTTTGATAGCATAAACACTTATTTAGTATAGTACAGGAAAGCTCTTGCTGTGTTTTCTCAACCTTCATAAGTATTGTGTTTTCTTCACATTACACTGAATCTAAAATATTGCATGAAAAATGGTCCAAGAGGTATGCAAGCAAATGATTCTTCAAAACGTGACTATGGGTAGTCCTTCTTTAGGGACTGCCTCATTTAGTGACCATTTGCAATCATGGTGGTGATGAAAAAGTAACTTTTTGACTAATCCTTGCACTTACGACCTTTGCAGGTCTGTAAAGTAAAGGAAAGCTGAAGTAAGATCATAAACACTGTTGTGGTTTCACTTAGCAATGGCTTCGCGTAATGATCAAGTTGCCAGCCCCAACTGTAGTTGCTAAATGAGAACTACCCATATTACGTAAAGTAGCTAACTATATTATTTGCTATATGCCAAATAATTGTGATGCGTGGGCTTCTCTTATCAGAAGCAATTTGGTTGTGAGATATCATTGGGAATAAAAATATTAAGGGCATTAAGTAGAGGTATATGAGGCAGGTCCTGTGAATAAGAATCTCCTATATTTTTGCACAGTAGAGAAATGTTCAAGTTTTCATATCGAACATCAATTTATGCTGTTCATAAGAAAGAAGTTAAATCTCATTTGAGGACTACCTAGCTTTCATTATAGATGGTATGGTATCCTTCTTTAAATTGCTAGAATGATAATTTGCCTTATCTTTACACCATATTTACATGCTTAAAGATAAGGCAATTTATCATTCTAGCAAGTTACTTTGCTTCCTTTCTGAAATACAGATTGAAGGATCATCTGCTTCTCTTTCATTTTCACAAATTTTTGTTCCAGAATTTTGATGCTGACTTGTGTGGCATTGTTCCTGCTCTGGTCTGGGAAACCCAAGAGAAACAGATCCTGGTATTGGCAATTATAGAACATCTCTATCAACAAGGAATGTTGGGAGTGGCTGAAGAATTGTGTCAGGTACTAATCTCTTTAATGACAGAAATCTCTGCATGGTATACAGGAAGTCCTCACTTACCAACTACAGTTGGGACTATCAACCCTGTCGCTGTGTGATTGTAAAGCTAATCACCACAGATCATTAAGTTGACATCAGGTGAGTGCAATTTGTGACTGCCTGCTGGCTTCCCAATTGACATTGCTTATCAGAAGCCAACTATGAAGGTCACAAGGTGATTACATGATTATGGAACCTGCAACTATCATAAATGCGCTAGTTGCCAAGAACCCAAATAATGATCATGTGACAATGACTGCAACTTTGAAAACTAGCTTAAATCTTGTTGGTCAGCTCAACTGTAACTTTGAACAGTTGTAACTTTGAACTAATGATCAGTAAGCGAGGACTAAATTGTAATCCATGATGGTTGTAATCCTACATTGTGTTACACTTTTTGGCTTATGCTTCAGCTAGGTTATTCAATTCTGCTGGCCACAAACTTACTTTCTTGCCTATAGTACCAGAAGAAGCACTTGATTCAATTACTGTGTTCTGTTGTATATCATTTTTGCCCATTCTGAAATGGCTATAGGTAGTTCTTGACAGATAACAATTAGGGTCATAAATCATTGCAGTCATAAGTCAAGGCATCATGTGACTGGACCTGATTTTTAAAAAAACATATTTTGTAGCAGTTGTTAAGCAAACACCATGCTCATTAAGTAAATCCATTTTCCCCAGATGCATTTTTTTGCCAGAAACTGGAAGTAGACACTGGAAAACAGCAGAATTCATAGCAAATTGTGGTGATGTGATCATGAGATGCTCAAATGGCCGTAAAGGTGAGCCACTTGCCAAGCACTCAAAATGCGATCATGTCACCATGGGGGTGGGACTGGCTTGTAAGTAGCTTTTGAGGGGGTCCATCGTAACTTTGAAAAGTCATTAAACAACCAGTTATAAGTCAACGATTATCCATAATCTTTATTTGAATCTCCATCTGTTTCCATTTCTTGCCTGCTCCTTTATTTTCAGGAGAAGGCGAGACCATTTGTTTTTCAATCAACTTCTGGTTTCTCCTCGGCAGGAATCAACTGTGAAAGTGGATGTAGATTTCAAAAAACCATTCCTGGAACTGAACAGCATTCTGGAAGCTCTGCACAAACAAGACCTGGGACCTGCTCTGAGGTAAGTCTTTGGAACAGTGCACTGTGTGCCTTTGGGGAATCCAGGTTCTTTTCTTCCTATAATTCCTAATCTGATTGTTTTAGTTTAGGTTTTCAATTTACTTTGATTACTTTTTAATTACTTTTTAAGATGCTTTGTTTCTCATCTATGAAATCTAGTACATTTCTGAGATTTCGCTTAAAAACATGCTGCCAGCATTCATAATCTCCTGTAGCCAATATATAAGTGAGTTTGGAACATTGAAAGTCTTTTTCCCCCCATTATAATTACTCTGAGAACAATTCCTTTATAGACTCTAGTTGCTGAGGGAATAATGTACCTTGCCTAGCTGGGCAGTCTTCCACAGGCAGCAGCTGGCCGATCTGAACAGTACTCTGGAATTTCAGTTGCATCGGCTCCATTTCATCAGACTTCTTTCTGGCGGCCCCGGCAAGGAGTTGGAGGCCTTGAGCTATGCACGTCACTTTCAACCCTTTGCCCACCTACACAAGCAAGGTGGGACACTTTTCCCTTGGATCTGCTTTCTTGCTATGAACTAATACCTCTTTCCTAGGACTGTTGGGCTAATGCTCTGCTCAGCATCCTTGACAAAGGTAAAATAATACATTTTATTTCCATGAAGATTGATTTTCATAATGTTTCTTTACAGTTGCCAGAATTGATGCCTTTTGTTTCTGATTTTGTTGCTTCAAACAACTCTTTAAACTAAAGAATGTTGGAATCTCATTATTCCCATTTTCTCTCCAACCCAATGGGATGCTGGAAAGAGGGACCGAGCCTGTTCATCTCTCAGCAGGGTACCTGTCTGAGCACTGAAAAAAACAGGACCAGATTTGGTGTGGTGGGAAAAGCTGACAAAAGACCAAGCCTGAAAATAGCCTGATCTAGCTTGAGCCTTTGAAGAAAGGCATTCCAGAAAACTTCCCCTTCATTCATTCATATGGGAGAAGCAGCTGGACAGCCCTTGGAATGCTACCGGCTGCTCCATTCTTAAGCCTCGCCTGCCTCCCACCTGGTCATGTGACTGAGTGCAGCTGGTATGAAGGGGTAGAAAAGAATTCCAGAAACCATGCTCTGTGTACATTCCCCAGTTTTAATACAAGAGGCAAACTTAACTGGTCAATTCCTTGATTCAAAGCAAAGGCATCATCTCCTCAGCCTGTTCATTGGTATTGTCATCAGTTTCCTACAATTCATTCTGAAATAGGCCCAGGTGACCTTAGTGAAGGTTGTTCACTAAAGTGGCACTTCCTGTATCTTGCTGAACAGAGATCCAAGTGATGATGGGAAGTCTGGTATACCTACGCTTAGGCCTTCAGAATTCTCCATATAGGCATCTACTGGATGAAAGTCATTGGACAGAGATTTGTGAGACTTTCACTCGTGATGCATGTTCCTTGCTGGGTCTCTCAGTGGAGTCACCTCTTAGTGTCAGGTAAAGCTTCATAGAGGCGGGACTGGGGGCTGTACTGGGCAGCACTGAGCATTCTGTCTCTGCAGTTTTGCTGCAGGATGTGTAGCATTGCCAGTTCTGATGAACATCAAGGCTGTGATTGAGCAGAGACAATGCACAGGTGTCTGGAGCCACAAGGATGAGCTGCCGGTGAGTTACTTAACCCATTCTGGGGAAGGAATTATAGGATCGGTTGGGATTTTTGCTGAAGAATATAAATAAATAGAACTATATGCTAAAGTTAACTTTTATTTTCTTAACAGATTGAAGTTGAACTGGGAATGAAATGCTGGTATCATTCAGTCTTTGCATGTCCCATCCTGCGCCAACAGACCACAGATTCCAATCCACCTATCAAGTTGATTTGTGGACATGTTATTTCTAGAGATGCTCTCAACAAGCTTATCAATGGAGGGAAGTGAGTGATTTTCATCAAATCTTGCTATCTCAATGAAAGTTATGGGGTTAGTAGATGATAAGTAATTGCCTGAACTATTTCCATTTCCATACTGCAGTTAGATCATATACTTTATTCATCCCATGTTTATACATGCAATGCCATGTAGATTTACTAACACTTTCCCCCCAAAATACTTTTTAAAATTTTTATATACTGTGGCTGCATTATGTCTGCTATCTTCAGCTCAGTTGTTGAATAGGGCTATTTTAAAAACTCCAAATCAATATTTTTCAAACTTGGCAACTTTTACGATGCGTAGACTTCATTTCTCAGAATTCCCCAGCCACATACTGGCTGAGGAATTCTGGGAGTTGAGATCCACACATCTTAAAAGGAATGACTAACTGACATTACTGGAACAAAATCCAGATTTTAAAAAAATAATAATATGGAGTCAAAAATAGAAACGAAGTTGGTGAATATTAAGATTTCTATCCTGCTTTTGTTTAGAAACTCAAAGACATGTAGTGCTCCCATTTTTCATAAGAAACATTAAGTAAACTGGGCCAAGAACAAAGCCCAAAGCACAGCAAGCTTCAGTAACAGACAATAGACTTGACCTGGATGCCTGTGGTGCCAGCACAATCACTCCATCACACTTTCATACAACATAACTTGCTGCCAGTTTTTCAGGAGCGTGGGGCGGATCATTTTCATATTGTTACAAAAGTAGTTTCTTGTAAGGATTCCAAAGTCCTGATTTGATTCTTTTTTTGTTACATTCTGCAGACTGAAGTGTCCATATTGCCCTATGGAACAAAACCCAGCCGATGGAAAACGCCTCATCTTTTGATAATGGCAAGACTTGTTATGAAATAGGCTCTTCAAATACAGCAATTGTGTGCAAGCAGAACTCTACAATGTCCTGCTTAATATAACAGCTGCTATACAATGGAAGCTGACTAGTTTAGTGGACCAGACAAAAACTTCCCAGGTTGAGGCAATGCAATATCCTGTATGTATACTCCATGTCTGAGCGTTTTAGGCTTCATCCTGGTAGCTTCAACAGGCACTGCTCCTGTTGTAGAGTTTATCCTATCCCTGGTCACAATTCTGTTCCTTGTTGGATACCACAAGCACTGTATGTGGAGCTGCTACCCCCTACTCTCCACTTTTAATGCTTACAGATTACCAAATTCTTGAAAACAGAAATGTGTTTCTGAGGTGAGAAAAGCATGTGGAGAATCCAACTTTCTCCTCTGTTTCAAAGAAAAAAATTCAAGTAAATTAGAATGCAAATGAGGACAATTGTAGAGTTACTGGTGTTTCCTAACATTTTAAGTCAGCCTCTGTATACAATATTGTTCTTCAGAGACTAAGAGATGAGTATACAGTGGAATATTTTAGAATATGAATACAAATACACAACTTACTTAAGTAGAGAAATAAGAGCTCAAAAGTCAGGATCAGTTTTCTTCCTTATATAAACAATTTATAGCACCAGAGCATGTACTATTTAAATATGGTAAATCTAAAACCTGTATAGGTAATGAACAGGAGTTTGGTGTTAACAGCTTGTAATAAAATGTTGCATTTTGTGTATGTAAAAGGGTTTTCAAATCTGCCTTAGAGATTTTAATTTAGAGACATCCTTAGGCATAGATTATTCCTACTATCCAGGATTGGTGATTTTATGGAGTAATCTTAAAGATTTCCTCAAAGGTACAGCTCTTTAGAAATAATTTTCTAAAGTGTTACATTGTTATTTTAACTTGGAGGCTTCAAGTAAGAACTAATGCTTACAACTTACACTTTACAAAATGACATTGCCTTTTTCTGAAGCAAAAACCTAGAGAAAGGATAACTGAAAAAAAATATCAACTGCCACTATAGCCTTTAAGAGTAGCAGAGGCTTTATCTTGCTGCAGGTATTCTCAATTCTATCCAATCTTGTACATATCAGACATCTAAAGAGGATAGCAGGAGACATAGAAACAAATTGAAATAAATTACTTTTCCTTTGCATGTTACCATACAATCCAATACCTACAAAATTATAGGTATTCAGTGTAAGACTAATTTGTATAAAGCAACAGTCTAGCTGGCCCGGGGCTGGATTTTTTTTTGGGGGGGGGGGAGAGGGAGAATACTTCATATTTGCTTCTGTACTCCAGTATGATCTAGTTAACAAGGGCTGAAATAACACTGCCCTTTAAATAAAGAGGCTATGGATGATTTGTATTTTTCAATTTTTAATAGCATTTCTGTATGCATAAAGGAGCGTGCAGTGAGGCAAGAAATGTTCTCTACCTCAAGTAGACAGGAATACAACTTGAAGGTACTTTATAGCACCTTTTGGGCACCAGAGACTGGTTCTGTGGATAAAGGTTTTTCCGTGGACCAGAATCCCATGGATGGGGCTTTGCTTGTTTCTGTGGACCCAGTTGCTGGCAAGCTGTGGACTTCTGCTGGTCCACAGACCAGACGTTGGGGACCCCTGGTTTGGAGTAAGCAAGTAAGTTCATGTGATATTGAAGAATATAGTATATTGAATTGGATAAGGCCAATATATCTATAAACATTTTATTATTTAACAATTCCTCTATGCTAATGGTCTAGAATTCTTTTAGAGCTGAACATCGGACAACATTTTAACACACATTTCCAGCAAGAATTTCAACCAAAATTCTTCAAAAATAGATTACAGCATAGCTGCCATGGTTCCAATAAGTCACTTGATCTATTCCTCAGTGTAACAATCCAGGCCAACTGTCATATCAAACTGGCATGAAACATATTTAACCACACAAAGCCTATAGAATCCAGTATATCATATATCTTGGAGTCTTAATAGCATTCGTTATCAATGTTCTTCACAAAGGAAGGGGAAGAGCCTCCACTTCCTCCAAGCACTCATTGTAAGCTTCTTGATAGTCCTCATGAGCCTTTATCATGATAACGCAGGTTGGGCGTTTTGAGCCTGCTGCTGCTCCCAAATCCTGAATGCAAAAAAAGAAAAGGATTTAGTTCCTTGGATCAAACATAGAGGTCTCACTTTTTTCAGCACAGACTATTTATGCATATTTCAAGATGCAAACTAAACAAATCCAGTATTTTAGAAGTTTGATTTTAGCCCCCCCTCAGGGTGAAGATCTAACTTCTCTAAAGCTTAATTCAGCAACTGCACTGCAAACATTTTTTTAAAATGGAAACCAAATTTCAACAACCTGAGAATAAATAAGGCTTACTTAATGCTTCAGAATTTGATATCACATTCGAGACAAAATGATCTTGCTAAGATATTAAAATTTAACATAATTTAAAGGAAAAATATTAGGGATTTCTCAGGGACTTCCATATTAACTGGCCTCTCATAACCTCAAGGTATTAACAAAATATGGTACTGAAGTCTTTAAACATGACGTACCACTTTTTAGCTATTTTATTAAAATTCATATATTAGTATCATATTCAATAGTTGGACATGATTATGCTGAAACTATATATGGCATTATAAGGATCTGTAGCCTGAATATCTAATATCCACTTGTTAAATTGAAACACTGTAGTAAGCAATAATTTAATCTTGTAGTATATGACAGTTTATTATATGAATGAAGATGTCATATGTCACAGGTATCAAACTTGCAGCGTCACATTGCCATCACATTATGTTTTTCCAATTCGTGCAGCTGAGGTAAGCATGGCCTGTGCATGATGCATCCGACTTGCGGGCCTCCAGTTTGACACCCCTGCCATATGTTATTCAGCAATCCATCTATAACATGAGTTTAGCACTTCTGAATGTTAATATGTTATTGCACCCAGTTCTGTTATATATTTAAGTCACAAAAAAGACACAAATACAAGTTTGTTCATAAACTATTACTGGGACTTTAATAATCAACGACATCCGCATCATGGAGTAGAGATAAATAGTAGCTTTTGAGAAAAGCTTAAGTATTCATATCTAAGTATCTAAGACTTTATTTCTGTTTACATAGGTAAATAAAATGATCATGCAAGACAAAATTCTATTGAATTCCTTTTGACCCATTTTATACATTCATTCCTTTCTCAAGGACAAGCAGAAAGAAAACTCCTTTAACCAATTATTACCGTTTTAGATGGAATATATACATAGGGAAGACTCCTGTCTTCACACATGATGGGGATGTGGCAATAAACATCAATAGGCAATGTATCTCCTGCAAGAACTGTGATTCTATGAGAAACAAGACAAATTTTAGCACGGTTAAAAATTAGGGATTAGTAAAACATGAAATTCAACATAATGGAAAATATCAAATAAGTTTCTTACCGCTAACAAAAGAAATGTCTCTAATTTGCTTAGAATGTCACACTAGTTTCTGTGAACTTTGTGTAGAAAAAGCTAATTTAAGCATTTATCTTAAATGCCTTAAAAGGGTTTTGCTTTAGAGTTAAACCAAAGCACACCACAGCAGTTACTTCAAGCGGAAATACGGAGATTAACTCTCTCAAAAATCCCATCGCCTGGAGTATCACAGGTTCTTACCCTTTTTCGCCTTTGTTGATGAATTTCTGGACCTCTTTCACCCCTCGCCGAATCTGTTTCAACTTCGATGCTACAAAATAAAACGCGAGAAGTTTCAGGAAGAGACAGTAAAGCTCGAAACGGAGTCCATCACAGCCCACCCGGAAAGGGCTCTCACCCCCACCAATCTCGCACACCTTTTTTGATGCACTTGTAGAGTTTGCGTGTGAGCTTCCGAGAGGCTAACGGCCGCGCAATAGCATTTACGTTTGCGACCAGCTCGTGGTACGACCGTTCTGGGGTTGTTGCTTCGGTCTCCGGCGCTTCCTCGGGCTCCTGGTGCTTGACTCGACCCATAGCCGCAACTCGAACAAGCCAGAAACACACGCGCCGCTTCTACCCCTACTAACCTATTTCCGTTTCCGTTCTCAGAGCACTGATGCCTGGGAAACCTACCATAGAGTTTTTTAAAGCCCGTTGTTTCCGGCCACCATTTTTCCCCTCCGCAATCAACCAATAGGGGGAGGCCTTGAATAGAACGGACCGCCTACCGCTCTGAGCCGAGACCTAACGTTGGGGACTCGATGTGCGGCGAGGTTCGGAATCTGTCGCCCTTTCGCGAAAATGGCGGCCGGAGCGGGTAGTGAGTAACGATCTTTTTTCTGGCTAAGGGCAAAAGTACCAGGGCCTCCTTTTTATATCTTGGGATGTCCCTTGCCTTACATTTCTGAGGAGCAGCGGGGCATCTGACGCAGCTGTGTACAGCCAAGCTTCATCCTGTATATCTGTCAATTGCACGCAGGGAGTTTGCCTTTAACCACCTTTTTTGCCTTCTAGGGACCATTTGTTTGCGAAATAATGTTTTTTTTAATTTAATTTCGCCTTTACTATTTTTTTATAAGTAACGTGTCGAACATATTTAATACTCTTTCCTTCTCCTATTCCCAGAGTTTCCCAGATAATTGTATCTGGGTTTTTTCTTCAGGTAGATCAGGAATGTAGAATTTGCCTCATACCTCATCCTACAGCAATATTATGATTTTTTCCCCCGCTACTAGAACACAAGTTGATGAATGCCGGGCCCACAGAACCGTGGTCTATTCGAGAGAAGCTGTGCTTGGCTTCTTCTGTCATGAGAAGTGGGGACCAGAACTGGTGAGAAAAATACTGTTAATGGATTCGAACATTTGCTGCCAAGTTGTATTCAATATTAATGGCTTAAAATAGCATGTAATGCATGTTCTTCAATGGTGCAGAATCAGACAGCGATTTGCGAACCTTCTTGTTCTAAATACCAAATAAGTACGAAAGCTGTTAGTGATTTTAACATTTGAGAGTATAGGTAATCTTTGACTTACGACCACAATTGAGGCCAAAATTTCTGTTGCTAAGTAAGGCAGTTGCTAAATTAATTTTGCCCCATTTTGTAACCTTTTTTTACCACAGTTAAATTTGCAAATCACTCCAGTTATTAAGTGAATCATGCAGTCATTAGGTGAGTCTAGTTTCCCCCATTGACTTCGTTTGTCAGAAACCAAATAGGAAGGTTACAGAAGGTGACTGCATGACCCTGGAACAGTTGCCAAGTGCCTGAATTTTGATCACAAGATCATGGAAATACTGCAACAGTTGTAAGTGTGAAAAACGGTAATAGATCACTTTTTCAGTGCTGATATGACTTTGAATAGTCACTAAACGAATGGTTGTAAGTCAAGAACCACCTGTATTCCATCACTGGACCATCACTGGAATAAAAAATAATTTAATTTGAACCGCTATGTACCAGTTTACAGTATCCCTAATATTAACAAAAGAACTAACTACAGTAACTTTATAGTAAGCCATGTTACAATACCCTTTCTATTAAATTATTTTAAAGTGTAACTCAATATTAGTGATAGATATTTTGATGAAAACGAAATGAGAAATATCTGTTATTTTCAACTCTCATACTTCAGAGGTTCCTAAAATAATTTGCAATAAACATTCCCATTTTTTCTGCAAACTCTATGATGGAGATTATTTGGTTGCTTTGGTCTGATGCAAAACCTGCAATTCCCCCCCCCCCCAGTACTGTTAATGAAAAGTGAGATTATTTATTAGTGCAAATAGCCAGATCAACAGATCATGTACTACTTTCCAGCCTCAAATTTTAGTTGAAAAGTGATTAAGCACTTCTGATTATATTCAGAAGCACAGATTGGAGGGAAAAAAGCACATAACCATAGTTTTTTGTTTGACTGTTGAAACGCGCTAGAGATTATATAACTTGGTACTCTTATCTTAGTCTTACTGGATTTCTACTTCTAGAATGAGACACAAATCTGAAGAGGAATTAATTAAAATTGTGTGTGTGTGTGTAAGTTTTATTTGCAGTTTTTCTTTAACAACCAACATTTTTGGGGGGACCGTGTAATGACTGGGTTAACATATGTTTCACACAGTGTTCACAGTAATAATACAATTACATATATAAATTTTTTATCTTTCAACTTCTAACCTTAAGGTGCTCATTATAATTGTAATATATTCTTTTATATACTTATGAATTCCTAACATTTTGATATTATAATGTCACTCAGTGTTCCATCACATTTTCCATATCTCAACTTTCTATAAACACCATTAAAACCAATTATCAGTAAGATCTAATCAGTCCCAAATTTATATCTCTTAAGTCCCCTGGATTTATAGTCCTTATAGGCTATATTTTCCAATATATTTTTTCTATCCTGTTAATCATAATACTTTTAAATGTACCTAGTCCTAGTCTTCCATCTTCTAATCTTATTATATCTGTATAATAAATTCATACACACACACACACACACACATACACTAACTACTATTTTCCCAATTTAAACTTTCTACTTATTTCTATTGTTTTTCAATATTACTACCTTACAAAATATTATTTCTCTATCCATCATCTCTCAAGTCTTTCTAGAATTTAATCATTTATTGATTTTTTGGTGATTATTTTATATTTCTCTCTTCGAATCCTATATGTCTTCCTTTTTACGGAAACTGATTATTCCCTCTGTCTTATCATTTATCTCCTTCTGCTGTGTCTTTTGAATATCCATCCATAACCCTTTTTTTGTTTTTGTGAGCTCCTCCTTTTTCCCTCTATTATATTATAAGCACTTAATGGATTGCCTGTTTGATTTCTAGTATTCGTTATTGTCTTTTCAGTATTTTTCTCTGCTTTTAATTTATTTTTATCTTTTTGTGGTTTATTTTGCACCACTCCTAATTTCTCAGCTGTTTTCTGTGTATCGTATTCATCTTTTCCCACCATTTGCTGAGTGTCCTCAACTTTCTCATCTTTATCTTTAAATATTCCCATCAACTTCTTATAGTTCTTTGTCGCTATTTCTGCTGCTGTTCAGGAGAGCTTTCTTTGAATGAGCGAGGAAATTGCATAGAGTCTCCCAGCAAGCAGTTGCCGGCTGCATTTCACAGAGCCTAGCAGAGTGCCGCTATTTTCCAGGTGTTCTCGCTGCGATGTCAACCAAAAGTCTGGAATTAATTAAAATTCATGTAATTTATATTTGAAAACAGAATGATGTATTTTTATTCAAATTGGACTTGTATAATAGAAAAGAGCAGTAGGAAATTATTATTATTGTTTACATTTACAGCCGAATCAAATTGCTCATAGTGGTTTTCTTTTCTAATTATCCAGGTATCAACACTGAGATACTGTAGATCAGATTAATGGAGTATAATTGACCAATGTCATCCAATGAGTTTCAAATATGAATAGATATCTGACCTTAGATCTCTATGAATGGAATACAAACCAAAATGAATTTTAAAGTGTATTTTATAGTATTTTTCCCACTCTAGTAAAAATGTATCATCTCTGATGTACAGAGAAAGAGAAAGAAAATCTTGAATCCATCTTATCTGTAGGGTATCTGTCAGCCGAGCTATTAAACCCTTTGCAGAACAAGGCCGTCCACCAGATTGGTTTTCTCAGAAGGTAAGAAGATTAAATGCTACATTTGTGCATAATAATGGCCTTTTGTTTTACTATTGGGGAATATCTGCTCAAGAGACTTATTGTGAACATCTAGGAAATAAAAATCATGGATTAAACTGTTTGGAGCTTTGCTCCACAGGACATTCATATTGCAAAAAAAGAAAGAGAAAAAAACCCTTCACATTGCATTGATTTTCATTAATAGACCACTATTTTAGAGTGTCTCTGGAGATAGCTCTAATGGTGCGGTCAACATCTCTGCCTGGTTGCTACACATAAAGAAAGTTCCATATAGTTTATCAGGAAAGTATGTCCTCTTCCACAACTTTAAAAAATACCTTTATAATGTGGAAAATGTGTTTTATATTATACATTGTTGAAATATTATTTTTGAGGGTTGTTTATAGTGACTGATTTCTAAAAAAAATGTATATATGTTCTTTTTTCTAGCACTGTGCATCACAATATTCTGAGCTCCTGGAGACAACAGAGACTCCAAAGTGAGTTTAAATGCTGAACCATTTCTTATCGGGAAGATTAGAAGTTGAACACAGTATGACCTTGTTATTTGTTAAAGTAGCCTGACTGCTGGCAGGCTTCCATGGAAGCCTGGAAAATGTTGGGTGCAAAGCACTTCTAAATTATTTTTGAAGCTGGTTCATCTCTATTAACATGGTGTTCAGCCTTTGAACTGAAGAGCATGACAGCAGAGTGAATTTACCAGAGCAGTTGAAACTGCTCCCAGACACTGATTATTAAAGGATTACCACAACTGTGATAGTTTGGGTACATTCAAATAGAAGATATTGCTGGTATTCAAATAACCTGAATCCCAGCTTCCCATTTACATTGTAGATTTGGTGGCTAAAAGTAAGAATAGAGTAAATAATCGCAACTCAGGAATGCATTCTGCTTTTTATTTAGTTATTGATCTTTTCAGAATATTTTTCTCATACTTTTTCCAATAATGTTTTCATTAAAAATACAGCAAAATATACTGTATTTTGCGATGTTTGTTTAACCAGAATCTAATTAAAATAGATTTGAAGTGACACACTCATTAAATTGTTCACATAGTACTGTAGGAATAGCTAATTCTGATCACAAACTTTCATGCCAATAGGTACTTGTTTAAGATTACTTTAGTGTAATCTTAAATTTTACAATAGTTTTTGTAATGCTTTACAAAAGACCAAAAGCAGTAAGTAATACGTAATTGGGGTAAGGAGGTACAGAAAGATTGGATGTATGTGACTGCAGGGTGCTTCATCTGCAGGGGTTGGATTTCTGTTACTGGTCCCTAGAGTCTTCTTCCCTTCCCTTTTGATATTTTGTATGTAGAAGAAAGCGTGGTGAGAAAGGAGAAGTTGTAGAAACTATAGAAGATGT